CTGTGGTGGCTGGCCCATAGCTGAACATGCAGTGGCAGGTGAGGGTGGCAGGTCGCTGCAGTGTGTGGGAGTCACCAGGTACCCACAGACATGCTCAGAATGTGGCTGCAGCAGGCCAGCCTCTTGGGGTGCTTGGTCACTCCTGCCTTAGCCTTTCTTAAACTTGTGTGCTTGGCTGAGCCTTGGTGGGGATTAAGCCCTAGAGTAGCAGGGCGGCAGCTGAGGCCGCAGGCTTAGGTTCTCTGCCCCACCGATGAGGAGGACTGGGCTAGTCCAGGCCCCTTGTCCTCACCGATGTCCTGTGCTGTGCTTGTGGCCTGGTTGTTGTGGTTCCCATTGCTTTCTCCTCATGTTGCTGAAGTTGTGCTCCTGCTTGCCCATGCTCACCTCCTAGACAGAACTCTGGGATGTGACAGGGCTGTGCCCCATCTTGTCCTTGTCCATGTGGGGGAAGGAGCTGAGGAGCCAAAGGGATGAGGTGTGCTATCCAATGGCTTCCTATCGGGCTTTGGGTGGTGCAGTGGCAGGAGTGGAGGGGGGTGTTTCTTTGCTGGGTCTATCAAGCTTGTTCATGGGGACAGTCGGTGACCTCCTTTGGTGTGTGGCTAACGGGTGCTCCCGCCAGGAGGTGCTGTGAGGTTGTTCCGCATTCCCTTCCCGTCTGCTGTGTGCACTTTCAAGGGCCCCTCTGGTACTCCTGGGGACCAGAGCAGCACAATATGGTCAGGTGCCTGAGACAAGGCCCCTCCAACCACCTGCCTTTACCTTCTCCAGCACAAGGTGCTGAGGTGGCAGTCCAGAAACTGCATACTGGTGCTATCTGCACTCTATACTTGGGTTCACCTGCAGAACCTGTCCATGTGCCCCTGACTGTACCCCCTTGTGAGATGCAGGCCCGGCCCCTGGGCAGCTGCCCTGAACCTGCAGCTAGAACAGCTGGTGGCTGGGGATCCCTTCCTGCTGGCACCTGTTCTCTGGGCAAGCCAGCAGCTGAGGCCCTAGTTGCGAAGGCAAATGGGTCCTATGGTATTGCTTGTACCAGCATGCCAGATGTAGTGCAGGCCAGCTCATGAGTAGCCAGGTCTGCAGTGTCTGCTTCCAGCCTGTCAGCCTGGGCCCAATCCTTGTGCAGGAGTGTGGTGGTGCCCAACTGCCCTGTGGGCCCAGGTCAACGTGTGTACAGCTCTGGGTGGGCCTCAGCCTCTGGCGCTCAGGTTCTCCCAGGGTGCTGCCGGCATGTGCCCATGCACTTGTGTGCTGGTCTGGCCCATCCCGTGCAGCCCAGCTGGGGCTGGTGACCTTCCATTTGAAGTGATGTATAAGCTCTACCTGCCCTAGCATGGCCCTTGCTTTCCCTCCCTGCAGCAGTGCTGGAGAGGAGAGCTTTGCACCAGAGCCCTGACTGCTCCCTTTCCCAGAGGCAGTGGAAGTGTCGCCAAGTTGCAGATGCTCTAGGGTTGGCTGCTGGCACCGCCCCCTTCCACAGTCCAAAATCTGATCTCCAGGCTGCTCCACTGAGGGCTGGCAGTGCTGCTGCAGCCCTGCCTGTGCTGTCACATCTGGCACGGTGCAGACACCTCCCCAAGACATGTTCCTACGCCTGTGCTAGCAGAGGTGCCTGGGCAGCCTGGATCTCGGGCAGAGGATTGTTCAGGGTTTGCTTGTCACCTCCTTCTTGGGGTAATACTTCAGGGAAATGGAGGGTAAGAATGCAGGCTCTGCGCCACCAAGCTGATGATGCAGCCAAGCCACCTGCCTCCTGTGCTGTTAGGGAGAGATGGGCAGACTGGGATAGGTCCATGGTGGGTGGAAAGGAGGAGGAAGGTGAGGGTAAAGCTTGATCCCACTCTGCCCCTGTGCTTTGGTGTGGGGTGGGGAAGGGGGGCAGTGGCTCTGGAGGGGGCTGTCCTGGACAAGTGGGCAGGGGGGTACTCCGGACATGAGGAGTTGTGCCGTCCAGCTGTGCATTTCCTCTGCCTTGGCCAGGTTGGGCTCTGGTGGGGCACTGGTTACTTCAGGCCTGGGGGCATGGAGCCTGGTGCCCACACCATGCCAACTGTGCGCTTTCTGCCTGCAGAGCTCACGGGAGTCCAACCCATGGCCTTTGCATGCACCTGGGTTGAGCTGGGTGTGGGGGCAGCTGCCTGGGGCCCCAGTCCCACAGGAGAGGAGCAGCCAAAGTTGGTTGGGGTCCCGTGGATATGTGGAAGTGCACAGCGCCCCTTTGTCCTAGCTTGCGTGCAGAGCAGCGGCCAAGTCATTGTGGCAGCAGGGGAGCGTTCTGGAGCCTGGGTGCAGCCCTCAGTGATGTGCATGCTGGAATAGGTCGTGCTAATCAGCTGTTCCAAAGGAAATGCCTAGAAAGCTCTTATTTAGGTCACCGCTCCTTTGTTTTCTTATTTAGTTGCTTATTTATAGTGCTGCTGGAATGCTGCTGGGTGGGGGTGGCTGGAGGGGGCCTGGGGCAGCTGGCATGCCCTGCCAGTGGCCACAGCAGCTGGGGCCTGAGCCTCGGGCACTTCTTTCTGATCATGGGCCAGTGTGGGGTTGGACTCAGGCCAGGGGACAGAGCGCAGATGGCTTGGGGTCCTGTCCTCATTCAGCCATGGGGGAGGCTTTGCAAGCCTGATGTCAGCTAGGAGACATGACTCCCCACAGGTGGGGAGGCCCCCTGAGCAGGGCAGCCCAGGACCACCCCTCGCACACGGTGCCCAGGCCTGTAGGAAGCAAGGGTCTCTCTGAAGCTGTCTTTGCAGGCAGGGCAGGGAGAGTGCATTCTAACCCGGGGGAGAAAGTCCAGGCAGTCTGGCTCAGTCCTTGCGTTTGTGGCCATGGTGGGGGTTGAGGGAGCAGAGAGGTGCAAGGGGGAAACCGCTTCCTGCAGAGTGGTGGTCGCAGTGCTGGACACGTCTCCATGAGGCCTGGGGCCCCTTGCTGGTGCTCAGTCTCCAGGTGCAGTTGTAGGTGGGGCAGAGGCTGGGCCCTGTGTCCTGGCAGGGGGTCAGGAGATGGTCCTATGAACTGGTTGTTGCCGTGGCACAGCCGGCACCCCATCCCCTGGGCCCTGGCTGGCTTTCCTTGCTGGCGTGGGGCCAATGGCACTTGCTGGCACAGGTCTCTCACCCGCCCATTCCTCAGAGTTCCTCCTGTCCCACCGGCTTTGTTCGCTCTCACGGTGTAACCGAATGTCGCGGCGCTTTGTTACCACCGGTGCTACAAGGCTGTAGAACGTGCTAGACTAGGGCAGGAACATCTGACAAATAAACCTGTAATCCTCTGCTCCATGTCCCGTGTGTTTATGCCCAACACAGCTTCCAGCCTGCAGCCAGGGCTATCCAATACTACCCCCCCCGCGCCAGGCCAAGCTTCAGTAGCTCCCGAGTGCGTCTGCAGCTCCAGGGGCTTTACCCTGTGTTGGACACAACCTGCCAGCAGCCCCTGTGCACTGTGGCCCTCTCTTCTGGCACAGCCTGCATTAGCAGGGGAAACGCAGTGGTAGGAGCAGAGAGGGGCTGTACACAGCAGCTGCCATTTGCTGGGGCTGCATCCTGCTCGTGTATTTGGGTTCAGAAATGTTGGCAAAGGAAACGAGAACCTGGCTGTGGGGTAAGCAGTGAGTAGAAGTACCTGGTGCAGACAGGGGGGCCTATGGGAAGCCACCTCCCTGGTTATGGGCCCTTGGCGGGGTGCTGCAGGCAGCAGGGGCTGTGGTGTCTCTAGGAAGGCAAGTGTATTGCAGGTGAGGGGCTGCGCAGCCTGCCTAAGGGGAGCTTGCACCAGGGGACTGCAAGCACTGGGGTCACCAAGTTAGAAGGGAGGTGAGCTGTGGGGGAACGTATCAGCACGTGAAATAACTGCTGCATGAGAGGGGAGAGGAAAACCCTGGGGGTTGTGGAGTGTAAGATAAGGAAGAGTAAGACGGGAGAAGGAAATGTTTCATTTGTGGCTGGTGGGCAGGGGGTCTCATGGCCGTGATGGCGTGATCCAGGCTGAGAACCGTACCCTGTCCTGCTGCTGATGGGATCATTTGATGTTGTAGCCACATGTGTGAGTTGATGAGGACTCAGCATCCTGCCTCAGCCCAAGCCTCCTTGCAGTTCAGGGTCATTCAGGAGTCCTTGGAGCAGGTGGTCCCATGTGCGCTGCTGCAGTCGTGCTGCTGTTCTCAAGCACTGGGGAAAGACTGGCCTTGACCGCCTGGGGACTTGCCCAAGCCAGCAGTGCTGCTGCGCCCAATGCCTGAGGGTATGTGGAGACCTGCCTTCCCTCTAGCACCTCACCTGGGGCTGGGGCCTCTGCATCCAAGCTTTGTCCCAGGGCCAAGCGCAAGCTGTGGCTGGGCTCTGGGGGGCAGCTGCCCTCTGTCCCAGCCACTGGGCAGTCTGCCCCAGACAGTGGCTTTCACAGGTGCCTGCTCCTGCTAACCAGTGACATTGCTGGCAGGGGAGAGGCTCTGGTGTTCGGCCCTGTGGCTGCAGCTCCTGGGGGCAGCAGGGCTGGAGGTGCTGTAACACAACCCTCAGGGTGCACGCAGGGGGAGGCAGTTGCTTCCTGCAAAAGTGGGATGT